AAAAAAAAAAAAAAAAAAAGGGACAAAGACTTCTTAAAAAAACATGCAGAAAATTTTAAATACACTCATTTCTTTGGTAGAAAATCATGGGGACATATATACAAGCGTTTACTCAACGGATTAGGTGATTTATTTCTGGTATAAATTTGAGATTAAATTTATTTGGTAAGTATTAACTAATTCAATATTATTTTTATACCAAAATTTTGATATAACTTATCTCATAACTCTAAAGTTATCATATTATAATAATTATTGTAATCCTAAAGTTATAATAGTGGTATATCCTGATTTTGAATCAAACAATCAATAGAGTCCATCATCTCTTACGCTAAAATGTTTGACCTAGGAGCTAGAAACTCAAAAGTTCCTCACTGATTTAATCTCTGAAAGAAAGGCATGTGAAATTGACAAGCATGTTCCATGGGTGTCCTCAAAACATGGAAATCCCACTCTGCAATAGGGTTTTGTAATTTACTTTAACTTTTATATAATAATAATGAAAATTATTTTAACACTTTAGTATATTTTCATAATGTTACAAATTCTTATTTTAGGTTATTAATTTCATTTGTTGGATGCGATTACTTGTAATGATCTTTTAGCTAATTAGATATTATAATATTTTCTTTTACACTGTTAGAACATAATATATAGAATTTAGAAGTTTAGCTCCTCCAAAGTAAAGGAATGACTTGCCCATTTCAAGTCCACATGTAGGCACTTTGTAGTGGATGAAAAATCGAATAATCTTCATATTTTTGGACGGCCAGAAAAGAAAATGGGTCAAAAATCAAAGATACTGTAGTTTCTTTGAAAAGATGTTAATGGGGTGCAGCCAGAAGTTAGGTCTCGTCGTTGTTTTGACTCTCTCACCGCTATTCTTTTTATCTTATTTCAACTTTCTATACACCTTATTCAACGCGTAAACGCAGCATAAAGTGGTAATTGTATTGATCATTTATTTAGCATAATCACATTTTAAGAAAGCTTGCGCGTGTTAATTAAATATAAATTGTTATCGGTTTAAGTGGTCTTCGGTGTAACCTATAGGTTATGGGTTCGAGCCGTGGAAACAACCGCTAATACTTATGTTAGGATAGACTGTCCACATCTCGTCCCTGAAGTACAGTTCTTCCCTTGACCCTATTTGAATGCGGAATATTTTATACATCGAACTATCCTTTTATTGTTATCGGTTAACTAATTTATTATCTTAACATGGTATACGTACATATGGAAAAAAGTATAAATATTCAACTCAAAACTAAAAAGGCAATAAGTGCGATACTGCAAAATCATTTATGAATCCCTTTGTAAACTTTACACAATTAGGAAGTTTACGTTGTACTACATTTAAATATTTCTATAATAATTTAGTTTGTTCCAGATATTTTTGGATATTATAGCGAATTGATGTGATAGAAAATATATATTATAACAGAATATGAAATTTGATTCCGTAAAAATATTACTTTTATAGTGAAGTGTTGTTATATATTGATGTTGTTATATTGAGGTATGACCGTATATCTTTTAACTTTTTCCGAACTGAGACATCTAGGGTTTAGACATGTAATGTAGACTTGATTCATTGTTCTAAACCATATTGACCAATCAATACTAGCAGAGGCGGATGTAGCTAGAGGCTATGGGTTCAATTGAACCCATAATTTTCGATTCGGAATAAAAATTTGTATGTGAAAATTTATTAAAATTATAAAAATAATAGATATGAACTCATAACTTTAAAAATATAATGAGTTCAATATTAAAAATCTTAAAATTGAACTCATTGGATTTAAATTCGATCCGCCTCTGAATACTAGTCGACTCAAGAGACAACCAAAAAAGTGTATGGGTAAAATAATGATTCATTTCCCACTTGTGAAAGGGACCAAACTGTCGTTAGGGGAACTGAGGGGGTCACATAGGGATGTGTTGCTTAAATAATGGAAGCTAATACCACTAAGCCCACCATTCTAGACTCCACGTGAAGACACGTGGCAATATCCCAATGCCCCACTTGGCATGTCAAAAGTGGACAATCCATCTTCCCTTCAATGCTAAGTAGTCTAATCTTATCTTTTTCACTTCATATATAAAGAAGTTGTCACCAACTTCAATTGTATAAACAAAAAAAAAATCACCTCAGAACACTCTTACTCTTCTCTTTGTTCTTCATTCTTGATTTTAGTATATATATTATCTCATGAGAAAAAGAAGAATGACAGTCATAACATTTGATCCAAATTTTAGCCTTCAAAAAATCAGCAAAGAAAAGTCTCAACATAGAGTTTTAGTAGAAGAAATTGAAGGGCTTATTAAAGTTTACAAAGATGGCCATGTTGAAAGACCTCCAATAGTCCCAAATGTCACTACTACATTACCTCTTGAACTTGGTGTTATCTCTAGTGATGTTATAATTGATAGTTTCACAAATATTTGGGCACGTTTATATGTCCCAAAATTATGTCAAGAAAAATCCCCTTTGTTAATTTATTTCCATGGAGGTGGATTTTGTGTTGGCTCAGTTTCTTGGATTTGTTACCATGAATTCTTAGCAAAATTGGCAGCAAATGCTAATTGTGTGATTATGTCCGTTAATTATCGATTAGCCCCCGAAAATCGTCTTCCGGCGGCTTATGATGACGGTGTTAAGACGATTATGTGGCTAAAACATAAAGTCATTAGTGGAGCTAATGAAGATTATTGGTGGTTAAGTAAGATTAATTTTTCTAGCATTTTCTTTGGAGGTGATAGTGCTGGTGGGAACATAGCCCACAATGTAGCAAAAAGGGTTTGTTCTAAAAGTCATGATTTAAAGCCATTGACCTTAAAAGGTACAATTTTAATTCAACCCTTTTTTGGAGGTGAGTCAAGGACTTATTCCGAAAAATATACGGCGCAGCCGCCGCGGTCGGCGCTCATATTAGCGAGCGCCGATACATACTGGCGGCTCGCGTTGCCGGCAGGGGCTAACCGGGACCACCCGTGGTGTAATCCGGCAGCCAAAGAGTGTCAAAATTTGGTGGATTTAAGGGATATTCCTGGTATATTGGTATGTATATCGGAGTTGGATATTTTGAAAGACAGAAATTTGGAGTTTTGTGCTACTTTAAATAGAGATGCTGGCAATTATAGGAAGGTAGAATACTTGATGTTTAAAGGTGTAGGCCATGCATTTCAAGTATTGAACAAGTCTCAGGTTGCACAAACAAGAACTGCAGAGCTGATTGCACATATTAAGGCTTTTATCAGCAAATGATCACAGTTTAATTCCTCTATGTGTTCATAACCAAGGATTTAAATTATACCCCCTCACACTGTATTATAAATTTTATATCTGTGATTATTTTAGTTTAATCGGTTAGGTGGTAATTTTTTTATGTATATTTTTACTGGCTGCAACATGTACAAGTTATAAATCTATGTTTACTGTTGAAATTAAGTTGTTTATAATTGGCTTTAAAATGACCTAAAAATTGTAAAAATCCTTGTGCAAACATCTTCTATTATAGTAGTTAAATTCTAGAACCAAATGTATGTGTGAACTTTAACGTACAGTTAAGCTTGTTCACAGCTTGGTATACTAAGCACTCGCTATGCGCGGGATTCGGAGAAGGGCCGGACCGCAAGGGATTCGGAGAAGGGCCGGACCGCAAGGGTCTATCGTACACTTAAGCTTGTTCGACAACAAAAACTTATGTCCCGTTGTCTATAAAAAAATATATTAAAAATTTTAAAATATGCTTGTCCATAAAAATTTTGTAAGTTTTTAGAAATTTTTCGAAAATGAGTTTTTTAAAAATCAAAAAGTGATTTTGACCACTTTCTAAAATTTTCAGAAATCTGTTTTCCTCGATTACAAAACTGAATTATTTTTTCAAAATAAAATGTATGTCCAAATATAATTTCAAATTTTAAATATTATTTTTCAACTTAAGCTCTCACTATGCGCGGGATTCGGAGAAGGACCGGACCGCAAGGGTCTATCGTACACTTAAGCTTGTTCGACAACAAAAACTTATGTCCCGTTGTCCATAAAAAAATATATTAAAAATTTTAAAATATGCTTGTCCATAAAAATTTTGTAAGTTTTTAGAAATTTTTCGAAAATGAGTTTTTTAAAAATCAAAAAGTGATTTTGACCACTTTCTAAAATTTTCAGAAATCTATTTTCCTCGATTACAAAACTAAATTATTTTTTCAAAATAAAATACATGTCCAAATATAATTTTAAATTTTAAATATTATTTTTCAACTTAAGCTCTCGCTATGCGCGGGATTCGGAGAAGGGCCGGACCGCAATGGTCTATCGTACACTTAAGCTTGTTCGACAACAAAAACTTATGTCCCGTTGTCCATAAAAAAATATATTAAAAATTTTAAAATATGCTTGCCCATAAAAATTTTGTAAGTTTTTAGAAATTTTTCGAAAATGAGTTTTTTAAAAATCAAAAAGTGATTTTGACCACTTTCTAAAATTTTCAGAAATCTGTTTTCCTCGATTACAAAACTAAATTATTTTTTCAAAATAAAATGCATGTCCAAATATAATTTCAAATTTTAAATATTATTTTTCAACTTAAGCTCTCGCTATGCGCGGGATTCGGAGAAGGGCCGGACCGCAAGGGTCTATCGTACACTTAAGCTTGTTCGACAACAAAAACTTATGTCCCGTTGTCCATAAAAAAATATATTAAAAATTTTAAAATATGCTTGTCCATAAAAATTTTGTAAGTTTTTAGAAATTTTTCGAAAATGAGTTTTTTAAAAATCAAAAAGTGATTTTGACCACTTTCTAAAATTTTCAGAAATCTGTTTTCCTCGATTACAAAACTAAATTATTTTTTCAAAATAAAATGTATGTCCAAATATAATTTCAAATTTTAAATATTATTTTTCAACTTAACTTCAAATACTAATTTTTTTCAAAATTACAATTTGTATGTCCATACTAATTCTTTTCTACTTTTGCTTTAATTTTGTTTTCAATCAAATAATATAATTACATTTCGGTTCCAAAGAAGTTAAGTACGATTGTAAAAAAAACACTTTTCATATAAACAACACAACAAAAGTTTGACAAAATGTGGGTTATAGTGAAATGCCATGGTACACGTGTTGGCACGTGCACTTGTCCAATAGAAGTAATTAAGAGTAATTAGTTACATGTTAAAACAAAAATTATTCCCATCAATTTCAAACATCTAAAATTTTGATGGATTGACATTCTTTTTTAACTCTTGTTTACTGATTCTCTCGATAAAAACAAGTGGAGAAACGACGTTGATAAGAAGACAACAGAAAAGGCAGTTTCCGACTCTATTATTTATGGAAAAGGTAAAGTACATGAACCGAAAAACAATAATTTCCTTTCTAGAAACTTGTTCAAATAATTTAAAACTCAAATTAAGACAAAATAAGAAATATCGATGAAAAATATCCTCAACTTTATACAGTAATACAGGTCTCAGTTTCTAATTAGATATCTTCCTAAATTGGTTAAACCCCAAATTATTGAATTAATATTGAAATAAAACAAGTCAATTAGAGAGAAATGGATATTAAGTATTCATATATATAATCAATTCCAACTAACTCGGTTTGAGATTGTATTGTGTTGTTGTGAATATCTTTACCTTAAAACTAGGGGTGGTAAACTATCGGGCCGGGTCGGATATGGAACGGGTCAAAACGAGTAATAAAAAATAGATAAAATATTCGACCCGGCCCATATTAATACGGATAAAAAAATAGATTAACCGATAGATAATGTGGGTAATATTATTCATGGATTCTTGAATATCATCACTTTTGGGAGATACCCCTAATTTGAGATTTTACAAATATAAAAGTTAAACTCATATCCATTGGTTACCCATTTTCTAAATGGATAATATGGTTCTTACTCATATTTGACCCATTTTTAAAAAGTTCATGATCCAACTCATTTTAAGTGTATAATATGGATGGTTAACTGTTTTCTTTTAACCATTTTGCCATCACTCCTCAAACCTAAATATATATACTCATTAAAGGAGAAATCAAAAATAAAATGAAAAATGAGCTAGATGGTAAATCTTAAAACTGAAAACAAAATAACGAACAAAGTGAAAAAGAGAACAAATTAAAAGCAAATCAAGCAATTTGGCAACAACCAGCAAAGTACCTCGATCAATGTCAGCTTCGTTAAGGTACACTATTCACTTAACAGATTCGTTTGATTACCTCTGGCTTAAAAACCAAGGATAATAAGATCTTGTGATTAACAACATTTCCTAGTTTAATTTATATTAAGAGCATAGTTATAACAGTGATGGTGCAAAAATATTTGCTCAATTAAATCACTTATTACAAGTAAATCTTTATAATAAGCATTAAAAAGGTAATCTGATAAAAATAATAACTAACCTATTATGATTAGTTAAAATAGAGAATTTTTATTTCATCAGTGCTTATAACTTAAATCGTTGTGCGACCTTTTTTTGGATCTTGTATGAACACAGGATATATATTAGGTATATCGGGTTGCCTTTTGTCTTGTTTTATTAAACTAAAGAATTGAGTATGTATAAAAAGATGACAAAGTAGCAAGTAATTAGAGGAACAATTAATTAGCGGACATGCTTTCTGATAATGAGTGCATTGAGACTTGAACTCAAGGCTTCTGTTTGCTCTCATACCATATTAAAATGTATGATTATCTCGTCTAAAAAGCTAAAACTATAAGAGTATACATCTCGATTTACATATAAATATTACTTCAACAGGCCTCAGTTTAGAGTCTTCTCTCTTGTCTTGGTGCCATGCACAATATACTTTAAATTCTTAAATGACGCCATTATCGACCTTAAAGATGAAGGTCCGAGGTTGAGGTTGGCCAAAGCTACATCATCTTCGTATCTTCATCGTATTATTAGCTCCAATTTTCTTGCTCAAATGAGTGTTCCAAATGGTTTACAAGGTTGTCTCCTGAAAGCAGAAAAGTAAACGAGCAACTTCTTAATTTTAAAGCTATATTAAATTCACAAGGGTTTAGTCAGAACATTATTTAAAACAAAAAATACAAGGGTCCTTAGACCTTGGTTACTGACTCAACTCACAAGCTCTAGAAAATAAAGAGAAATGAAACATCAACCTTATGAAGTAGTATAATGAAAACCAGCTAGGTTATGTACTTCAATTCTTTCTCTAGCTTTTCTTGATATCTCTAAATTCGTACGTATATACAAACAAATAAACAGATTTTGGGCAATGAAAAAGAATAAATATACACATAACAAGCATATACCGCCTTACTAACGTTTTTTTAAATAAATAAAAATTAAGAACTTTGTTCCTTTTCAAATTGTAGTTTTCATCTTTTTATATATATGACAAGCAAATTATAACTAAATATTAGCTTATTTCAAAGTGCAATCTAGATATCATTAGCCCTAAATAATAAGCCAAAAGAATAATACATGAAAAGAAATACTAACAATTATAATAACTTCAAGACAGGCTGAAAATGAAGTGACACGAAGGTTAATTTCACGTTCCTTTTACCCACGATAATACTAAAGTCACAATTAAATCATTCTTATCATATTAAATTAATTGTACTCTATTTATTATGACAGTAAAATCACAAATTTATATCTTTATCGCAAATAGCTTGTGGATTTCTAGCTATCTAAATGAATCAAAGGTTTAACAGTTAGAAACAATACAGTCAGACATCTCTATAATAGTATCCCTATATAATAACACTTCTCTATAAAAGCCAAGCTTTTTCGGAACCAATTTTCATGTTATGTTATAATATATGTTCTCTGTAACAACACTTCGCTATAACAACTAAAAAACTTTTCGAAACAAACGAAATTATTATAGAGAGGTTTGACTGTACCAGCAAATTACTTCGGAAGGGATATTTGGCCCTTGTGTTTCTCATTACTCCATCTGATTTATTGGCTTTCAAGAAATGAGACACAATATGACTATAGAGAAGAGGCATAATTAATGGAATATCTCTCTAAGATGGCTAGCTTTCAATGGGAAATGCATTGAACTGAAGCTCTTATTTATAGTGAAATTACAAGAATGTAATGAACACATGTCAACTCAAAACTGAGTTGTAGTATTTGGTGGTTAAAGGCTTATAGGCACGAGAGCCAACTTTCTAATTCTCTGTCTCAACCACCATGTGTAACAATCAAATTCTTGGGCTAGGCAAGGGTCATTAATTAAAGCTTTGCCTTGTCCATAACAATCTGAATATTATTAGTAAGAGGTCGATCTAGGATTGAAATTTTATGGATTTGAATTCAGAATTGAAATTTTATGGGTTTAAATCCAAGATTGAAATTTTATGGGTTCGAGTTCAAATTGTACTATAGCTCATTTGATATACTGGATTTAAAATCTACTACATTTGCATTTATTTGTGAATTTTTTAA